ACTACTACTACTTCTACGACTACTACTACTACTTCTACTACTACTACTACTACTACTACTACTTCTACTTCTACTACTACTACTACTACTACTACTACTATTACTCATGACAGTGTACCGCGATATGATCTAGCTATGCTGGCTGGTCCCGACTAACACTTCGAGTCTTCTCGACACTAGGCTCATGCTCAACAGCATATAAAGTATAAAGCTTATAATCTCACGTGCTCATCAGTATGGCGCACTCCAGTGAGAAATTCCATGCGTTGGAAATTTCTCATCTCAACCGTCCGCGGTGTCCAAGATGAGGACATTCCCTAAGCATGGACACGAGTTGAGAACCATCTGATTCTCGAGCCCACCTCCACCTCACCGACGGCCCGACCATCCCAACTTTGCATCTGTATTCGAATCGCGAGAAACAGCGGCGGCCTTGGTGTCAACGCTGCCCATGGAAGAGAGGGCGCTGACCATGCCACCGCTGCTGCTCTTTACCTGACAACCGAGGGGCTTTACACGAGAAGCATTTACGATGGAGATTGTTGGTGCAGTGTTTTTGCCCTACCAACAGTGCAGAGCAAAGGAATTTACCGCGGACGGCTCAAGTGCACTGGCGTTCGCTGTGTTGCTTCTAGTTTCGCCTGGTCGTCATGTCAATCGCGTCTGTTTCTTGTACACATCTTGGTCAAAGGGTGGACACCTGCTTCTTCATCTGCTCTGCCACTGCCTCCGGTGACACGGTTGTAGCTCCTGGTCATGTTGGATCAACTCGTGCTTATCCTATGTCCACAAAGAAGCAGATTGTCCATGTGGGGCTATCAGCTGGTGAACTGCAAGGTCCTGCATTTGAGATGCTGTACCTTGGCTTGCTCTTCAAGACAATCTCTTTGAAGCCAAGCCCAGACCTTCGTCACTCTCTGTTTAACGTCGGCTCGGCGGCGAGAGCACCGAGCCGCTCCCCGAGAGCCAGCGGCCAAGACGGCGCGAGCCGCCTTTGAGAGCCAGCGTGGATTGGAGCCTCGGACTCGCCGAAGGCTTGGGGCCGGGCGGTGCACGTCCGGCCCACAACTTGAGGAACAAGTCCGAGATCCGCGGCCGATAGGCAGGGATGCTCATGCTCGTGCAGATTGATGATGCTGATGACGCTGATGATGATGATGATGATGGTGATGCTGATGATGCTGCTGATGGTGATGCTGCTGGTGCTGGCAGCAGCAGCAGCAGCAGCAGCAGCAGCAGCAGCAGCACCAGCAGCAGCAGCAGCAGCAGCAGCAGGCGCTGGTGATTGTAGCACTGACGCTTAGGATGATGATGACAAACAAGCCACGACCACTTTGGTCACCTCTTGCCAACGAGGGCGCCCACTCGGCAGCTGCAACTGAGCGTTCAGCATGACCCGGGCGTCCTCTGCGCGATGCTCAGCAATTTCCCAGTCACAACCGTGGCGAAACGATTTGCAAGCAGAAAGTCGTCCCGAGGCTCCTCGGACTTACCCTGGGCATCCGCACTGGTCCTGATAAGTCGGGGCTTGATCGAAGGCCGACAAAGCACAACAACACTTGTCGAAAATAGGGACAGGGAAATGCTGCAGTGGCTATTTATCTGTGGACACCAATTTCGGCGTGACAGTCTGCTGAGCCCTGAGCGTCTCTAGCGTCAAGATCCTTGGCTTGCGCGAGGGGCATGTCTTCGACTCATGATTTCTGGCTGGTCAAGGACCCTGCCAACGAAGCCGGGAGTCACTGTGGCCGACTGCTGCTCTCCGCTGTTGATGGCCGTAGCGTTACTACTTCCGGCATTGTATAGGTCCTGGACAGGGCATTTCATTGTCAATGGTACCCTCGGTGGACGAAAAAAGGCATAGGAACAAAGCAAGCAACGGAGTTGTCGGAAGTCCTGGCACTGCTTGCCCGCAGGGATCACGGATCCAGACGGACCTTTTGCATGCGTTGAGTCTGAGGCGCTCTCGATTCTTTCGCTTCTCCTTTGCTACTACTGAGCTCCCGTCACTTCTTCATATTCCGCCCTGGAAGGCATCTCTCTGGCCGCAGGCAGCCTCGGTGAAGTCGGAAGAACTTCGAGGGGCCGCGAGCCCTAAACCCTAAACCCTAAACCCTAAACCCACCCTAAACCCTAAACCCTAAACCCCTAAACCCCTAAACCCTAAACCGTGCTGCCCAGGAGCTGATGGTTTCGGCCTGGAACTCGCCGGCGTCCGTAAGGTGAGTCCTTGCCCCAGGGTCAGGGCCAGGGCCAGGAAGAATCGAAGCGCTATCAGATCTATAATATAAATATGGTATATTATAGTATATTATAGTATATTATAGTATATTATAGTATATTATAGTATATTATATAGTATATTATAGTATATTATGGAATAGAGTCTATCCGTCCGGAGGATCGGATGTTTTCCGCGCTTCGTGCCGCTTCAAAAGCCATGGCTCTGGATGCAGGTCTTGTTGCCGGCAGCTTCGTCAGCTGGCGTACAGGGCTTTGGGCACTGGTTCAGCAGCGTGCCTGAGACATGTTCAACACAGCACACTAGTCACATGAACATTCCTCGAAGCTTTTGACCTCATGCCGATACGAGAGGCTGGCGGTGCCTGCTTAAGATGTGCAGGACAGCACTAAACACAATTTTGTCTGGAACCATGCATGTCAATCAAGAAACCGTCACTACTTCGAGCGGATGTGCAAGTATAAGTTAGTGACGTGCCGAAATGCAAAACAAGCCCGAGCGGCAGCGGGCTAATTGCCAAAAACGATTTTTAAGCCATGATACCGCTGAACTTCGGGTTGCAGATGTTCGACTCTGCATCCTCACCGAAAGCAAACAGGCCATGCTTTCCAGAGAAGCCTGAACCGCAATCCTCCGACAACCTCTCTCGGCCAGAATGCAGACACGGGTGTGAACACTAACTCAGTTGAGACTCGTTCGGATCTGGGCACGTCAGCCTTAGCCCAAGGCGTCTGATGCTGACTGCTCCATTTCCACGCGGAACCCATCAGAAAGAAGCCTCCACTGTGCACAAGTGCACAACCTTATGTAGCTCAGTACAATCCTGGGAACAGGAAGGTTCATCGAGAACAACAACCACCGCCACCGCCGCCACCACCACCACCACCGCAACAACAACAACAAGAACGACAAGCACAACCACAAGAAGAAGAAGAAGAAGCAGCAAAGCTCTAAATTGTAGACAACAGCTCCTCCTCTGTATGTTCTAGGCAATCATTGCAATCAGTTCAAATACCACAACACCAAATTTCAAGCAGCAAAACGCCGCCGTCGTCGTCATCACCACCATCATCATCATCATCACCATCATCATCATCTACATATGTGCTCCGTCATCGCCAGCATCATCGCCTGACCGCCTGCATTCCCCAAATCTATGTGGTCTTCCAATCACCGAGCCCTTGTTGGCACTTCCTGTAGTTAGCCTCTGTGAAAATAGGCTAATAGGCAAAACTTATCGAACTTATGGGATGCGGGCTTTGCATGGCAGGACTGCGACCTGGTCACGTGTTGTTGCCGCAGGGGCATTTCGTGCTCCGGCTGACACAGACTGTGGAGAGTCCAGCCACTTTGCCTGCCCGTGGGATATTGCGTGTGATTTTGTAACCCTAACTCTGTGAGTATCTGCTACCTCTTTGCTCATCCTGCTTTTGCCTATGTAGCCTGCTCCAAAGCATTAACACTGCTGTGCATCTTCTGACGAGCCTGTTGCTGTGAAGTCTCTGACGTCGCACTGCTTCTGGGACTCAAGACAAGGGCACAGCACCTGCGTCTGAGACCTCATCAGAAACTGGCATGAGCCCGCTTACAGGGAGACGTACACGAACCTTGCTATCTTGCGCGGTAGGGAACAGCCTATTTAAACGGCGAACTCGCTTCAGACTAAAAGCCGGCGCTCTGCAGAATAGTGCCGAATCCGAAACCATTTCTGCTCAGGAGGACACGTCGGCAAGCATAGGTCTTCGCCGGGGCATCGACGTGTGTTCCTTGGTAGTAGCTCTCTGGCTGGGAGCTGCTACAAGTAGTTGGGCAACTAGCGAGCCAATTGGGCCGTAGACACAAAACTGTGCCAAGCATCTTGCCACATGGGCATTTAGCATCCTCCGCCACACAGACTTCGCGCTCGCCTCGACATCCGCAGCGGACAGCCAGCTCGGCTCTGTCGCCGAATGAAACTTGGACTCGTGCCAAGGTAGTCTTCGTTCTCGGCGAAATCATACACGAAGCACTTCTTTTCGTTCGCTTTGCACGTAACGGGGCAGAGCTCGTCCTGACATGAAAGGACAGTTTCGAACCCCAAGCTGTTTCGACACCAGCCATCAACGATCAATACCCCGCCTTCACTCAAACAGTGCATAACGGCAGATGACAAGTGGTTAGAGACGTTGCACGAGCCTTGAAGATGCAGCCCATGAATCCTCCACAGTTCCTGAGAAGGTGCTTCAAAGACAAGATCCACAAAGCTTTGAGCTTCGAACTTCCCTGGGCCGGGCGGCTTTGCCATCTTCCCGCAGGGACATACTTCGAGGCTGGCTGCGCAATGAACCGCGGGCTGGGAAACGCCTGCAAACAAGTGAAGGTAGGCCAGGTAGGCGGTCTTCTGTCGTGATGTTTGAAGTTGACGTCCGGAGGCCATGGCACTGCCCCTCAGCGCCTGCCCAAGTGCCATCGGGCCGGTAGTCCTCCCGGATTCGCGGGATGCACAAACGATGAGGTCCAAGCCAATGGCTACAGTCAGCAAACCCTAAGCGAATTTCTCCCCCCGGTCATCCACTTCAGGGCACTGAACTTGCCCGGCGCTTCAGGTAGGAGGGCAGTAGCCTGCAGCATGGAGGGCTTGACAAGTGCGCAAAGTGAAGGAGCAACACAATGGGAATGAATAGGAATGCAAGATAGTGCAATACTATGCTATTTGCATTGAATGGAACGTACGGGGGCTGTGCCTCAGTGCTTCCCATTCCCCGGTATCCATCATGACACAGCGCCAACGAGCTGCTCTGAAGATCTGACTCACAAGAACTTCTGGCCCTAGCTGAAGCATCTGAGAGGAGCACCACCATTGATGGGGAGGCACTCGGTGAATGTCACCCCAGCTTCCTGCCACACATTGCAGGCACCGAATCCATCAAAGGACTCGCTCGATTTGATTCGCGGAACCCTTGCCCAGATAACGCCCTTTCTCAGTCAACCCAGCAAATTAAGCCATATTAAATACCAAACCCTGCCAACTCCACATCCCAGCACAAACTGGGGCTTGGGGAGACAACGGCAATTCGAACGAGCACTAGGTTGTCATTTGTGGTGTGTTGAGAATCTGCCTGTCCCCACATCGTGAGTACATTGGTTGACGAAAATCCTTACGACTCGCACAGCATAAAGCACGAGTTCCAAGATTGTGAATTACGATGTCAGGATATACCAGGCTTTGGGACATAACTTCATACAACTCTTAAAACTTGGGACCTGGGTGCACATCATATTAATGTGTCCGTGATCGCTCATGCTGCTTGAACTTCTGAATTTGTATTGACTCCGCCCTGAGCAAGTACCCGATTCCCCCGTAGTGCTATCCTATCTTGGCAGGGGGTTCCACTAACTTATTTCGCGGTCCGCTCCTAAGATCTTAGTTCGAGCTGGGGTAAGAAAAAACTTGCCCAGGCACTGTGTGGTTGCAGGAGAACGCATTCTGACCCTTGGAGCAGTCACAGTACGCTCCGCGTGCAACCTCGGAAGCAGGGATCACTGATGTGGAGGCGACTGGGCCATCAGAGGAGTACATTGCGTGCTCGCCGGAGCCGGTGAGTGACACGGTGAGAAGATGTGGGAAGGGTATTAGCTAAGAGATTCCTCCCGAGGGTTACGTCGGCTTGCCTGAAGGACACATTGCAAGGGCATGCCGGTCAGCCTGCATGGATGCGTCCATGGATGTCAGCTACCGCTACGCAACGCCAGAGGCGGGCCATTGGTGGCGCTAGGCCCTTATGGCCCGGTAGATCCATGCACTTGCGAACCTGGCACAAGGCTTGATGAAGCTTGTCGCTATGACTTGGCCCGAGAGGCACAATGTTTCTCCACACTGGCCCAGTCGCCATTGGCGGTAAAGCCTTCCAGCAGCCGCAATTTGCAGAACTTCCAACAAGTTCATCAAGAAGCTAGGCAAAGCTTGGAGACTTCCAGCTGGACAGAGGAAACCACGAACGGGAAATTTGCACTTGCACGACACGTTACACACTCGTTACACAGAAGCCAGGCAACTGTCAATGAAGCATATGTCTTGGTCCGCTGTGCAGAAGACAGGGCAGCGCATGGCACCTGACGAAGCCGGGATCGAGTTACATCTGCAGCAACTGATCCACATCACTTCCAGGGCTACAAGTCCGCCATACCCGCAACTTCGTTGTGGTATGTTGTGGTCACAGTACCCTTACAGCCCTACTTCGCAAGAGGTGGCGCTCATCTTTTCCTGCTGCAATCGACGGAGTCACGAGCACAGCCTTTCCACGACAGTTTCAGGAACGGACGAGCTCGTGGGCATTGCACGATCGCGACATCGCGTGGACCGGGAACTTGTCGCACACCCTCGCATCACGACGGAAAAGATGACAGCTCTGCTCATCTCAACCACCGCCTCACGAAAGCGGTCATGGTCGCTTTCACGCAAGGGTTTTTAATGGGGATTAGCAGATTAGCGCGCGCACACAGTGCCATGATGGCTCGAATCGACTTGATACACATTTGCCGGCGCGCCTCTTGTAAATGCCCTGCTCGACCAAAGCCTCAAGCGGAAGCTTCCGCACCTTTTCCATGTCTGCAGTGGTGATATCCCGGCCGAGGACAGACATCCAAGGCATGCCAAGCTGTCCTGCCGTCCAACAGTTAGTTACTCAATTACTCCTCCTCCCCCTGCAACTGCTCCGATTGCTGCTGCGTGCTATAGCCGACCACACCTCGTACTATTGCCACTACTAGTCGTTACCCGGCACGGGATTTTAGCATCTCCAATTAGAGTGTTTTAGGCTCTTGCGAAGAACGGAATGTGCAACTCCAGATGCGTTTAGCTGCACGAATTGTCGAAGGCTCGGGCACGGCCCAAATCTTTGCACATACTTTGGGCCTGTGAAGTAAGTCTTCACCACAAGTAGCTCCAAGTCAAACCTTTGATGCAGCAGTAGAAAGTGCAAAGTTTGGGAGAAACCGAAGTGCTGCAAAATACTAGAGTCAGAGTCGAAGAGCCGTTCTTAAACCCGCCACCTGGTCACCCCCACTCGGCACTCCAGCGCAAACACAAAAACATTGACGTGAGCAGGCCATCCACAGCAAAGTGGCGGCGAAATCGTGCTAAAAGCCCAGGTCAAATCCGGCCGCGAGGGACGCGGAGTGCTACCAGTACCACGAGCACGACCAGTACCACTACAGCCACCACTGCAAAAACCACCACTACCACAATCACTACCACTGACACTACCACTAGAACGAGCACTGGCACTACCACTACAGCCACTACCTGGTGCTGGCGCCTAACAGTACCTACCACCACTAATTATTACGACGACGACTGACGTACCGCCAGTACCAACTCCATCACCACTATTAGTCTGATCACTACGGCTAGCAACGAAAACAGTGCTGTCAAGATCTCGACACTTCGCGACTGCATACTCGAGCTGCTGCAACATCATTGCTAGCATGACCCTCGATTCTTCCACGAACTGCGCACTACTGCTCCATTTCCCTGCTACAGGTAGTGTTGAGCTCCTGCGGTCTTCGAGAAGCCGCTTCCACAGCCGTCGTTGCAGTTGGTCCCCGGGCTCGGGCTAAGCAGGATCCCGCTCAACGCCAGGAGGTACCAGTCTGCGTAGACCTGACAAACGCCCAAAGCCAAAACGCCCCAACAAAATCCTAGCACCTAAGTGATTTTGAACCTTCCCATCCGGCGGGTCCTTCTCGATCTCGAGAAAGCTGGCTTTCTTGTCGGTGGAGTGCACTGACATGCCCGGATTGGACAAGACCTGACAAAGCCAGGGCCGCAGAACGGAAAGTCTGGGTTTCTTCGCGTCTCTTGCGCTGTCTTGCCTTGAAGGCGAGCTTCCTCTTCGTCACATCCACCGCCTTCGCACTGTCGCTTGCAACGAAAACCACTGGCCGAGCCTGCCGAGAGGGACGTGGCTTCGGGTGCTCGGTCCGCTAGGCTTTTCCTTACTCTGCATTCCGGTGGCGTCCAGTGGTCTCAGCGCCCAGGACAGCGTCTGCAGCAAGCTGTTAACGTGGACCAGATAGTACTGGAGAGGAACCTGCAACCGCTGGTCGTCGGCGCCGGAAACTCTTCCGAGCTCTTCGCTCATTCTCGTGTCCCCCATCCTGATATGGAGGCCCACCAGGAAAGCCTCCGGCTAGGCAGCGGCTAGTCGAGAAGCTACTAGGATAGTATGCTACTGACATGCCACAAAGCTGCCTTCGTAGTTGCCAGTTCTTTCAAAACAGGATGCAGGAAGCGGAGCATGTCCGGCTGCGGATCGCCCATGGCAAATCGCATCGCGCACTTGCCGAAGAGCTTGAACTTTCTTACGATGACCCTGGCCCTGGCCCGATCTTTCTCACTCCATCCATTCGAACTCAACTGCCGCATCATCCGGTCTCTGCAATCCAGCGGTACCATCTTCCCCAGAGCCCGAAGGTTCTTGCTTCCAACTCCAAGGAAGAGGCTTGCATTCGGGGAGAGCTTCCAATCTGAAGGCGAATTCAGGATATTGATGCTCGAATATGTACCAGAGTAGACATCCAAGAAATGGGCATTGCAATCATCTTTGTCCCGGAACTTGGTGTGGAACTTATCTGCTTCTACTGTCGCTCCCAACTTCTTGAGCAAGGCCTTCGTTGTGATGTTTGAGACTTGCATCGTTTCGGGCCGGTGTCTGGAGTGTAGGAGCTTGAAAAGTGGACCATCTGAGATCAGCAAGATTGGCCGTCGCAGCATCCATGCGACCATGAACTTGACCTGCCAAAACATGATGCTGCTGATTCCTCTACTGGCAGGAATTGGAATCACGATAGCAGTCTTCCAGCTGGTCTCGCTAGCGCCTGGCACTGAGCCGCTCCATGCATAGTCTCCGCATGCGACCTGTCCCCTGAATGAATAGCCTTTGACGACGGGAAGCTCCTCCCAGAGGGTTCCTGCGCCGCCTTTGCTCGGAGCCCTGCTCTTGCTCTTGCCGCCCTTGCTGGGTAGCGCAGGTCCTGCGCTTCCTGCGGCACTTCCTGCGGCACTTCCTGCGGCTTGCGAAACCCTGTTTGAGACATTTGAGGGGCTCTGAGTCGATGTGGCCCACGTGGTGGAAAATGTTGATGTGGGCGTGGGCGAGAACGGCTTCGGCAAAGACCGCTCTTTCAAGACCTTGATGCCGATGCCTGGATTTAGCATCAGGCGGAGGCTATCGTGCAGGAGCACCTGAATAGTTCAACGAGAAATGGGGGGCTAGAACGACGGGCCTTAGACTGGGCTTTCGTATGCCTCAACTGCTATGTCAAATGCCTTTCTGCAACGCGAGTGATTGACGAAAACAGGAACAACTGTAGGATCGCAAGGCACAAGAAGCCACAGAGCTGCTGTCCCACATGCCAAGCCAACAGCCACCCTGCACAGCATGCCGCGGGCTTCCCAGAAGCCTCCACGGCAAACATGCGCAGCTCATGTGCAGTCGGTCTTCGATGGCGAAG